AATTTTTGGAATGAAAAATTGTTCACGTAACAAACGATTAAAGTCATTGTCATTTTCTAGACCCAAACATGACAGGATACACGTTCAACACAAAGGCAACAAAGTACACCCAGAGAAATGAAAATTATGCGGAATTTTTATTTCCTGAAGTGTAAATGTTATTAAAATGGTTGATGTTATATAATTAATTAATTTTGTACGTACTTATTTTCCTTTACTGTGAAGCCGTCGCTTCTGTTGCAAAGTGAATAATTTAGTTTCGACTAGCAAGCTTGTATAACTGGGAATTCTTGTAAACAGTACATAAATATGAACCGCTGCTAGTCCGCGAACTTGGCTTGTTTAGAAATGCCAATGACAGAGCGACAGCTCATTAAATTTTCATGAATGTCTTATTTTGCCCAGAGATTAAGCGCAGCAAAGAAGACGTTTCATCACGCAAGTAAAAAAAATTTTATACGTGCAGTACTTTTGCAGTAAATTAAAGTGTCTTTCAGAGAAAGTTTCCGCTAGCTCTAGGCACTGAGAATAAATTAGAATCTTGCAAAATTTAATGTCTTAAAAGCCATTTTATTATTGAAATACTTTGAAACAGAACTAAGCTGTGCACAATCACTTTAAATCCAGAGCGATACCCGAAACAATTTTATGACCAACGACTTGTGGTAAAGGGCAAAACTTGTGCAACTGCCCCTCCCCCCCCCACTCTACACCACATTTGAAAGACCGACCTCATGTTTTTCAGTGAAGGAATCCGGACTGTGAGACTCATTCTGTCAGGTCGTTCAATGATTAGCCTAACCTTTCCAGAAACAGTTGTGACTGTAAAGCATAAAAGGATTGGTTATCCGTTGTTTTCATTCTTTTCACCGCTGTCGATCCATTTAGAGTTCTTAACCGACTTTAGGTCTACCGCCGCAGTCGAGGCGATTACACACCGCTGTACTTCATCGTGACATATGATTCTGATCTGATCGTTCATAACGAGCCTTCGCCTATGCAGACTTGGTTTCAGATGTGAGAACTTTCAGCGCTGCCAGGTTTCCTTCCCTCCGTTAATCCACTATTTAGGATTTAAATTTTGCCATTTCCGGGGTCAATGAAAACACATTCAGTTATACCTCGCCGCTGAGCGCGATGCCTCTTTCGGTCATTTTTCATTCTCCAAGAAACAGGAATGTTGGGTAATATTGACTGTCTCCATTTCGGATCTGTAACAGATTAATCCAGATCAGAGTACATGTTTGTTGTCGAGCAAGACCGGGTGTCTGCCGCCCAAAGATTAATAAGCAGTTGAAAGAAAGAATCATTTTTTACACAGAATCGATGTTGCTGCTCGCCTATACCTCTCCATGGCCGAAACTCCACAAAGTTACCCAGTTCTCTGAATCCGTTGGGCTGGATTAATTTTTGGTGGACTTTGGCAATAGTTCACGGGGGTTGGCTCTCTGAACGGACTGGCAAACACTTACTCAAAAAACGCTAAAAGTTGAAAAGAAACCGGGAATATATATATGTTGACTACTGCGTTTATGTGGACAACACCTACGGCTCAGTAAATTGCAAGACGCAATTGGTAAAAGTACCAGGAACGCCATCAAAATCTTCTTTGGCGACAATGGAACAACGGTGACCAAATTTTCTTCAGGAAGGCCTTTGAGAACTCAGCCTAGACGCAGAGTCGATTTCATAATAAAAAGGGAGGCTGAACCCTTTGTACTGAGCTGTGATATATCACTTTGTATAGCAATTCTATTTCTATTCATGAACAAATGAAGAACAATGAAAATGATTCAAACCTGAAGTCCGACCCAACAATAGGAAGATTGAAGAATTCTACGAGGAATTACAAAGTTTAATGTAGAAGAGT